TAATGTTATGTAATGTATTTTTTATCAAAAGGCCTATCTTTATTGGTCTATCTTAAGTTTGTCTCTAAAAATAGATCCTTAAACTTACCTATCGAATCGAATACCGAATTCCTTAAATCCTACTTTCCGACAGACCTACGTGTTAACGCATTCATACAAACAGACCCTCCAGTACTATCTAAGTATAGATTTCCCTTGATCCATCCAAAAATATCCAAAGAAATGATCCACGAAAAAGTATTATGACGATCTTTAACATTAAACTTAGGAACAGATAGGCAGCAGATCAACCGACACCATTCTACTCAACTCCTGTAATAGATTTTGAACTTAAAACTTTTGTAATACAGTCGAGAATCGATTGAAGGTAATTGACGTAAAAGACGAGGTTGATGTGCGATTTGTACTAAAGGACACCTGTAGAGCGTGTTTAACCGGCCAACACCCCAAATACGACCACGATTTACCCGGATTACGCCGGACAACGCCCGGTTACGGGACTTGGTGGTCTTTATCCGGTTAAGAACGAGTTTCGGTCAGATTTACATTGTTAAAAAGTTTCTTATATTTTTGAGTTTGCGCAGATTACGATGTGACTGTAAAGGAGTTTTGTTGAGGTTAAGATATCTTGACTTTACTCTTTGGAAAGTATCAATCCTAATTATTATCTATTTAGGTTCTTCACGTACTTGTTTGACGAGGCACTCGACTAGTTTAACCCTTTGAGTACCGTCATTATAAACATAATTAAAGAACAATATTTTTTTTTAAGGGGTAAAATCATCGAATGACTGCTCCCGCCTGGGTGAGGCGCGAGGGAATGTCAGACTCTTACTGACTAAAAACCAAACCCCGTTCCTTCTCCTGCACGTCGAGCCGGAGCCCCGGTTACCCGTTAGGTTCTCCGCGATGATTAAAGAACAATAGGTTGCGGTCACCGGAGGCCTCGCGGTGTTTGACAGTTTAAGGCCATACTAGAGGCTCATATTCATGAGCAGCATTCCGCGACGCTACCAGACTCCTTGAAACTAGTCAAGTTCCCGATAATAAATAATTTAGTATGTCTCACGAAAGTTTTAACATAGTATCAATCTTATTATTACCTACATTAGGTCTTTAATGCCAAAAAGATAAGGGGTTTCATTACAGTAAAATAATTGTTAGATTGTAAGTCATCACTGCTGGACAATAACCCTCCTCATCAATTATTATACATTAAATATAACATAACATCACGCCTTTTATCCCCGAAGGGGTTAGGAAGAGGTGTACACAGAAGTAACACCCAGTTTTCACTATTTATGTAATGAGTCCCATGTAATAGGGGGTGAGCCTATTCCCATATACCGAGCACATTTCCAGACTCCGTGCTACTACTGAGATTTTTTTAAAAACCCTGTAATAAGTACTTTGCCCAAGCTGGGAATCGAACCCGAGACCCCTTGCCCGGCAGTCACACTTGCGACCACTCGGGCTACGAGGCAGTCAAAACTTTCAGTTTTATCAGATAGCGCTGCTGCTATCTCTGATGCCTCTAAGAATATAATGGTCCCTCTAAAGTAAAAAAGGCACATTGACTGTACGGTGATGGCTGAGGAACTTTGTGTGATCTACAAATTGTTGTTCCCGGCCTGGATGTCATGAATGTGAACTATGTATGCTTGTCCTAGAGTTGGCAACGTTGTCAAAAATTGTCCTGCAACAGACGGTCAGGAGCTGTAAATATAATGAAATGATTCTGATAATATTAAATCAATTAATATGTATCTTTGGGTCGTTCTCAAAAAAGTGGCTCAGATCGAATTAATTTGTCAATTTCAAAAAATATTTCAAATGTCGAGTTTTTTTAATATAAATCTATTGGCAGTGTTTTTCTGAAACAGAATTAATGAAAGGGAAGCAGATTAACTGGAAATTGAGTGAAATAGAGCCTTCCAAAAAAGTGACCTCACAGGTTAAAGAGGTTTTGTACAGGTTATTGAGAAAACGATATCAGGTTAAATAGAAATAGACAGGTTACAGAAAAAAGCAATGTAATTATGCAAAATCTGCGTTTATTTTATCATATAAACTAACAAATATAACGGTTTTAATAATAATAATAATAATTGACAACTTCCTGACGTGAATTAAACATTAATTTAAACATTTACGGATACAGACACAAATAGCTGTGCTATATTTTCATAATCTAAAGTAAAATTTAATCAGTCTAAAACAATTAGTAATTTTATTATTATTATAAAAAAAAAACGTAAACATTATGATAAACATGTCTTTTGTTTTTCAACTAGAACAAACTAGGTAAATTTTCTCATAACTAAATTACATATATGCCAATCAGTCTTAAACCAGCTCTCAATGGTAATTCTAAAAGTACTAAGTGCTTATAATTTCTTCTTATGACTTAAAATTTGTCAGTAAAATGTCTGCAATAAATGAACGGGGCGATTGGAGTCATCATTCTGAACAACCATTTCTATGAGATCGATTCTGTAACGGAGATAAAAACGGCATAATTGTGATCTCCATACATTTAAGTCAACAAAAATGTGTCGAGAACTTAATCGCTTTTTCACAAGCTCAAAGTTGGTCCCATTGAAACAGTTGTTCAGATTGATGAGTGCAATGATTCCTTCTATTTGTTACAGATATTTTTGAACACCTTATGTCAACAATCATAATTATAATAGAAAATAGTTAATAGTTAAAAAATAGAGCAGTCCGAATCATTAACATATCTATAATATTCTCAAAAGAATTCAACGGGGACACATTCACTTTCGCAGGCCCTTCATCTATTATCTTATCTAAAGTACTTCTTTGGAGTACTTGCGGAGGTAATTTCATTTCAGACAAAACTGAAAACGGTGTCGATATACATATAAAGAATACTTACTAATTCTTGTGGAATTAGATTATCTGCTACATTCTTACTAGAGGTAACAATGCTATCTTCATCAGAGTCAAAACAATTGCCTAAATTGCCTAAAGTTCGAGAAGAAGTTATAGCAGACGGTCTTTTTTTTTGGCCATCTGGGTAGGGTATTGCTGGTGAGATAACTTCCTCTGTAATAACTCGGTGAAAACCCAGATGTATACCGTGTTTACAGAATTCGACGTCAGTTAAACAGATTTCTTTTGTACGACTAAGCTGTCTTAACACTACTATTTCTGGCTTTGCATTACTCCATAGAATTTGGTGAACTTTCTGTGTTCCTTTAAATGTTAGTAAAGTATTTGGTAAAAGCAAAACTTTTTCAAAAAGTCTAAAAAATTGTGTAAAGTTTCGAAATCCTGCTCATCATTTCAATGGCTCACACTTAAATCAGCAGGACTTTATCAGGTTTTAAAACGGCCCCAACTCCATCTGGAGCTCCTTTACTGTGAACAGATTCAGAGTTGATCCATTTTAAAGCTGTGATACCAAAGTATATTTTTATAAATTTTATAGTAACTATGTCGACGACTATGAATTTCGATATTGAGTAAGCGCATTTATAATTTTCCAAGTTATCGACGTGAATAACAGCTTCGTCATATTTTAACCGTTCTTTAGACCTAGAATTCGATCTAGTCATTCTTCTACTTTGATAAAAGCTTCGCGGAAGTTCACTATCACAGCTATATTATTAATCAAAATTAAATCTTGTTTTTATGTTGATAGGTTTTAGCATCTTGTCGCCCCTTTTTTCTTAACGGTTTTTAATCCCTTGGTGTTAAATTATTTACAAATACTACTTTTCCTTAATTTTTTCGTTTCTATATTCTATATTTTTTTTATATTTTTCCTTGTATTTTGCGTATAGTTCTGAATCATTTTTAATATTTTCATATCCCTTTTTTTTAAGTTGTCTTTTTCACGCTAAAGTATCTTCTCTCTTCTTATTTCTTGGGATTTTACCTTTGAAAGCAGGAAAAAATAGATTAAACCTTGTCTAGCTGACCTAACTAAAAAACCTAAATAGTAATAATAATTTATTAGATCATTAAAAGAAAACCAAATTTATTTATTCAAAGAGTAATAAAAATTATTTTAACTCATCAATTAACTCAAATATATAACTAGTAAGGATATTAAGTGTTAATACCTAAGTAATTTATAACTGAATTTCACGAGTAAAATGAATTTGTATTAAAAAATGGGTAATGTATCTTTAACCTGTTAGCAATCTCTTTAACCTGTGCATTTTCAACAGGGTAAAGACACACAGGTTATTGAGGAAACGTAGGTTAAAATGCGATACCAACAAAACGGTTAGTTTTTTTTAAGTATCACTTATAGAATCATATACAGGCACCTATTGACACATTTTAGAATAAAACATTTCGAAGCGATTAACATACAAACAAAAATAAATAGGTCAGATAATAGACAACATACCTGTTACAAAATCCGATTGCGATGTATCGATGTATTTTCTAAGAAAACAAACACATACTGATCGCTTCTTTCTTTGACAACAGGTAGCCCGATAGTGTCGGCCCATTTCGCGCTGGGATAGCGTGTTGCTAACGTTATAGTCTGTGGGTAATGGTCAGTAGTGTGCAACACCAGGTTGTGGAGAAAAAGTCTCTGGACACAATTTGGGAATAAATATCTCAAGAACTATATGTGTTTACGTG